CATTATGCTATGCATATATATAAATTATTCTTTACTAAATTTATGTAACATTTAATCCAGATTGATGGTGTGGGAAATATAACTGGTATGTTTTTGCACACATCGATCGCTATGTTGGGCACAATATTAGCTCTTATCATATCAATCTTGCCAATGGCACAAGGTGAAACTGATATACATTTGAAATTTCTCACAAACTATGAAGAAAATGAGCATGAAGCTTTTTGGCAATGCAGAATGCAGGTAAATAAAGTCAATTAATGACAGAACATCTACTTAAATTTCGATAATTTATATACATTTGCTCTTCTTGAAAATGAAAAAAAAAATAACTCCAATTCGTGGAACGTACATCGCATATCATTCATAGAACACTTGCATTCACCCAAAATTAAAATTATCCAGTGGTTGTGGAGCATTGTGTTTTAAGACCAAATTTTTGAAATATAGATTATATTAACAAATATTACATGAATAAAACTAAATATTAAAACACAGCCAATATAATTCCTGAATTGATGTTTGATATTATTAACATTGTGATTTTTTTAAATATGATGTTTGTTTGAATATATTTGTTATCGAAGAAAGATGGCCAGGATTAGTACATGGCAGTAACTAAAATCTTTTATTTTACTATCAAATTATAAACATGTATAGAAGGATAATTAATATGTATAAAAATACGGAGTCTTAACTTGTATAGGAAGTAAGTTTAAAAAAGATTTAATATGAATGCATAAATACGCCTAGAACAATATAATACTCGTATGTGGTTTTACTTTTGTTATTATTATTATTTGGAATCGATATTCCAAATATATTTAAACCAATAAACTTTTTAAATATTCAACTATTTAATAATATATTCAAATTCAAAAATATTCAAATATTTTAAAAATTGAAAAAAATTATTACCATTAGTCAAATTTCATTTCTTTTCTAAATGTACAATATTCAGAGTATTGAATGAAGTTATGATTCAGATACCGCACGTATTTCAATAATGTTACAATGAGTATAATTTATAATTACAATAATTAATATTTTATTACCAATTAGTTGAATTGAATTAAAAATTTGCAGAGCATAGCTGCATTAGCAATGTATTGTGTTTACTTAATGGACACAATTTTAAATTTGACATTGCTTCTTCAACGTAAAAAATACCCAGACCGCGACATTCGAAGGAAACCTGATGATGAGTAAGTTTTTAAAATAAAAAAATACTAATTTATCTCGAAATAATTAGCAAAATAAAAATAAAACTAAAATTTTATGTTTTACTTTATATGATAAATCTCATAAATTGACAGATAAAAAAATCTTAAAAAAATCATTATATTTTTAATTGGATCTATCTATTGTATTGGAAAAATTTATTGCATTTCTCATATATTAAATTTTATTCCTAATATAGTTTATTTGACTTTCAATACGGTATTGATGTATGAAAACATTAATTTGAATGAAGTGTCCCATGAGATCATTGAATAGACAACCACTCTATATGAACCGTTTCCATAAACCTTATATTAATGGTATATTAAATTGAGTCTATTTTTTTATAAGTAAAGTGTGTAATATGTTTGTCGTAGGATAAATATGTTATTTTTTAATGTAAAAAAACAGTTGAAACTGCAGATAAAAAGATGGAGTAAATTAAGAAACGGAATGCACGGTCCGATAGGCGACAGACTATTAGAAAAATTCGATATAACAACGATCCGAAATAATTTTTATGTCATATAAAATAAGTTTACTATAATAAGGAAAGTTATGAAATAATTTGTAAAATTTATAATAATTGTTATATGTATCATACTATTTTAGAGATCCTCTGGCCTTACAATTCTTGTGCTATCAAACAATAAGAAGACAAAGTAGTCGCCCTTGTTGCAAAGTCTTATGTACCTGTATTTTGTCCGAATATAATTAATTAATGAACTGTAATTAATTAATGTAAACTAAAATGTTGATGTACTATAATAAAAATAAATCACAAATAGAAAATAAATTGTTGGATAAAATGTGGATTGGATAAAATGCTCAATATAATATAAATGTAAATGGATAGTAATTTATTGGTTGATTTAAAATTTTAAACAATAGAATATGATTCTTACCTTAGAATATATTTCTTCGCAATTAGCATCACGTTATTTTTTCACACACTAGTTTACCCGAACTGAAGTTTTTATTTTAGAAATGCATAATAAAAAAAATTACGCGATTCGAACGATTGAGTATTTCGTTGTATATTTAAAAGGTTCACATTAAAAACATAACAATCATATTTTAATATTTATATTTTTGTAAAAAAAGGTCAATAATCTTTGCCGCGCCAATATTTTAACAAATTATTTTAAAACAAGAATAAATAAAATTATAATAGGACCATTTTTAAAGTCCTGGTGCATTTTTGTAAAACCAATTTTAATAATCATGCATAGAAATATAAAGTCACTCACCATTTGTTGAAAACGCCAATTTTTCTAGAACATCACGATTACCAATTTGTTGTCTAAAAAAATATAATTTATTAGGTTCAATATAGAGTAGAATTCTGTTTTATTGCAGTTTTGGTACCGTATAAAAGAAAACTTACCAAACAATTCGAAAATCTTATACATTCTTAAATACAGTAGGATCCTGTTTTTGTGCGGATTTTGGGACCGTATAAAAACTCCGCAAAAAAGTATTCGAAAATTTTATAAATTTTTGCATATAATAATCAACTTTGTACGATATATTGAATAAAAAAAAAATTATGCGGTGGAAAACGACCGTATAAAAGGTCAGACTTAAAAAAATACAACAATGATATATGAAATAGCATTCAATTAATTAAATTAATTAAATTCGGCCCGAAGATTGTAAAAATATTAAATTTTAATCATTTGAACCGTGGATAAAAGTCTGCAAATGCCATTTGCAAATTGAGCAACAATGCGGCTGTTTAGGTAATTAAAGCTTATAACTTTCATAGTCAATCGCACAAAAAATGTACGGTTATAAAATCGCCTTCAACCCATCGCACAAAAAAAAAAATTGCATGAAAATGAACCGTATAAAAATAGGATTTACTGTACATATATTATATTCTAATATAAAATAAATAAAAATAATATAAATAATATAAAAATAAAAAATATAAAAATTTGAAATACCTCGCAATTTCTAGAAAATGGCATATCAGGAACACGAAGCACAGCTTTGTTCAATTCAATACACTTAACACTAAAACACTACATAAACCATAAAGCACAATTTCAAAATGTACATTGAATAGCACAAAAAATAAATCGTCACACAAAATATGAAATCACACTGAATCATTCAATCAGTAAATAAATTATCACACGAAATAATTTTTAATAGAACATACTGCAACTAAAGGCACAAATTCAAATATAATATAACCAACATAGTTGGTTCAACAGGTTTATTTTGTAGCAGCAGCCGATACCTTATTTAAGGGGTTTTCTAGTGTAAAGGCATGAATTTTAAGTAATTTTTAAATCACCATAATATCTTTATCAATGTTACATAAGTACAGAAAAAAATAAAACCTCCTAGTAATCCAAAATTAAAGAAAAAAAATAATATTATGCTATAGTATATACCAGGATTAACCACTTAAAGCTATGCTTTTTTTGTGAAGTGAGGTCAAACTAGTGGAACATGGCATCGTGCAAATTGCAAGAACTTCTCGTACTGAAAATTAAATTAAAAAAAAAACCTTTAAAATTTTTTGAAAACTTCGAGAAAAATAAGATTTTTGAGAATTTCGAAATTTTTAAAAAATTTTAATTTGCTTTATATCTGAAATTTTTTTTATACTTCAAATTTTTTTAAAATTTTGAACTTTTTTTCAAAGCAATCGTGCTGTGTGGCTGTTTTAGCGTAAATATCGAAGCGCGTAAACGCTGCATCGCAGTCTAAATGATAAACATTGGTACGAAATCTATTGAAATATAAACAAAATTCATACTTATTATTAAAATCACTATAATATATCTGATAATTTTTGATCGCCTAGTGCATATGTCTAATGATAATTTTTGATCGCCAAATGACATTTTTTTTATTTTTTTCACACTATCTCTGAAACCACTAGACCTCCCTTCAGACAAAAATTTAAAAAGTACTTCATTTTGTTAATACAAATAAAATGTTTTTTGAATTATTCAAATCGGACGCTCCGTTCTTTCAAATACTGATTTATCATTTTGGGCTCTTTTTGCTCCGTATCTTCGAAACGGCTAGACCTGCCATTGTCAAAAACTAATCAATACAAATCGTCCCCTTGTCAATACAAATTAAATGTTTTTTAAATTATTTAAATCGGTTGAACCGTGTTCCCAAAATCGTCGACGAAAATTTGTATCTGCACACACACACACATCCATTTTTTTGTAGAGGTATGCGGAAATGTTCCAAAACCTCTGAAACTTAAAGATATGAAAAAAAAAATCATTTTCGATTTTGTTGCGATTACTATAACTTACTCTACGACAAGTTGGAAAAATCATAATATAAAGTCAAAATAACATAAAAATTTAAAAAAAAAACCTAATTTTTAAAATAAATCAAAGAATTCTTTTTTAAAACCTTATTCACGACAAAGGAAAAATACGTTAGATTGCGAAAATCATGAAATCGTGGATTTAAATTTGGATTGAAAAAAGTTTTTTTTTAAATTATGATGTTCTGACTTTATATTATGATTTCTACAACATCATATAATTAAATACAAAAAACATGCTTGTTTTCACCTCACTTCACAAAAACCCTACGTTTAGCGTTAAGTTAAAAAATAATTTTTCGACAAAGTGGTGACTATTTGAAAAAAATCAATTTGGCAACTATAAGGCAAAAAATATTTTGAACAACTTTTACTATTTTTTCGCAATTTTATTTGTGTAAATCAAATATGTAAAATAAGGTGGCTCTTCTGCTGCACACCATTTTGCTCCTAGTACAGAATTTCTCCATCCCATCTCCTCCACCACACAACTTGCTTCTATCCTGTATGGATTAAGCTTTCTACCTTCTGCACAGCTTTCGAGTAAATACAGTATATCTACAAATCCTTTCGATGCTGCGAGTTGATAACATGTAGTACCTCTAATGTCCACAGCGTTGATATCGCTTTTCTTTTCAATAAGCATAACACAAACTTGATATTGATTTTCATTAATAGCCCAGAATAAGGCACTATGTCCTTGGATATCAGTTTTATTTACTTCTGCTCCATGAGCTATTAGTTCTTGAATTACAGAAAGATGGCCCAATTGGCACGCTAGCATTAGAGCTGTAATTCCTTGTGAATCTGAAGTATTAACGTTGGCACCGTGTTTTAATAGTATTTTAACCAATGCTAGAACTGTCTCTTCAGTATTATTTGTTGTTGGGCAGGGTGCCACAACACAATTTTTTTCAACAAGCAGGGCACAATGATTAAAATGGCTTTCTTTAATAGCCCAGAATAAAGCATTCTGTCCTTCTTCATCTGCTTGATGAACTTGATATGAGCTTTGATGTGAGAGTAATTCATCAACCACAGACACATAACCCACTTCACAGGATAACATTAAAGCTGTTATCCCCTTCTTATCAGTAGCATTAATGTCAGCATCATGCTGTATTAATATCTTTACTATAGCTAAAACCTTTTCTTCAGTATTATTTGCTATTGAGCAGAGTGCCACATTAAATTTTTTTTCGATGAGAAGCGAGCATACTTGACGAAAATTTTTAATAATTGCCCAGAATAAAGCATTATATCCATTTACATCAGCTTGATTCACGTTTGCTACATGTGCAAGCAATTCTTGGACTACTGAGACGTAACCCACTTGACACGCTAGCATCAAGGCTGTAATTCCATCTGCATCAGTGGCGTTAACATTAGCACCACTTTCTATTAATTTCTTCACCAAGGCTAGCGTGGTTTCTTCAGAATTGCTTGTTGTGGAGCAGGCCGCCATCAACGGTGTGAACATTGGTATATCAAAGGCAGTCACAGGGTTCATCATAGCTGTACTTCTGAAAATAACAAGAAAAATTAAAACTATATTAAATATAGAAGTTTGTGCCAAAACTATTTATAATTAATTGTACATGAACATCATTTTTTTTAAAAGGTAATAATGAAATCTATGGATTTTAAAATGTGTTTAATCAAGCTAGATGACAGATCAGTTACAAAAGCAGCAGCTTAAATATGAGCAGTTACTAAATGTATGACTTAGAAATACACATGTCCACGTGGATAAACTAAAATAACCTAATATGCTCAAACATTTATAAAATCCAGAAATTAACGAATTGCTGGAACTTCCCGTACCAAAAATTATTATTTTTTTAAAAACGATTAACATTTTTAAAAAAATTCTACTTCGAAAAAATTAGAGTTTTGAGTTTTTTTGAAAAAAAAATATTTTCTTCATTTTGACATATTTAGGACATTCGAAACTTTTTTTCAAAAAAATCGTACTACTTTAACTGCATAGAGACGAAATATCGAAGCGCGTAAGCGCCTCGCCGCCTTCTAACGGATAAGCATTGCTACGGAACCCATAGGAATGTAAACAAAATTTATACTTATTGTTTAAATCTCTATAAAATATGTGATAATTTGATGTGCATATTTCTACTGATCATTATTGACCGCCAAATGGCATTTGTTTTTACTCTTTTCATTAGATCTCCGAAACCGCTAGACCTGTCTTCATGAAAATTGATCAACTTATCATCTTGTCAATACAAGTAAAATGTTTTTTAAATTATTAAAATCGGACGCTCCGTTCTCTTAAAAACTGAGTTACCATTTTTGGCACTTTTTGTCCCGTATCTTCGGAACGGCTAGACCTGCCTTTGCCAAAAACTAATCAGCACGTCTCCTTATCAATACGAATCGAATGTTTTTGAATTATTCAAATCGGTTGATCGGTGTTCCCGAAATCGACGAAAATTTGTATCCGCACACACACACACGCACACACATACACACACATGCATCCATTTTTTCTAAGGTATGCCAAAATATTCAGAAACCTTTGAAACCTAAACATATATAAAAATTTTCATTTTCGAGTTTTTTGCGATTACTATAACTTGCCCTCCGGGAAGTTAATAATAGAAGATCGGGCAATCGTCCCAAATAAATTAATCAATGTTCGTCCTGATCGAATTTCACCGAAGTTTTTAAATTTTTGAAGTAGGTTCAGACATTATTTCTATATTCTTGTTTATTCAGATATTTTCAACTAAACTTCAACGAAAGGACATATTTTGGCTCACATGCATTTACACATTTTTCCCAATTCTGGTGTCAACATTCAAAATGGCTTGAAACGTAGAGAAATCGAAGTTAGCAATTTGGATTTTCTGGCGAAAATAAACTTGCTTTTCAGGGAGCTAATAAAATATTTAACTAAATACAAAATTGATTTACAATGCCGTTATGTATAGATATGTTACAATAAGTTTAATTAAAAGTTATGTAAAATTTGATAAACCTTGCGTAATAATTCTGCAACAGTTTTCTAGTAAACTAATTCTAGATCATGTAATATTAAGATCAGTAACAAATTTATAATTTGTTAGAAGATGGCATATAAGATAATATAAATCATCTATTCCGAACACGCTTTCACGGAAACCTAAATACGTTTTGTACAATTCTGATCATAATTCATTTCACAATTTAACATTTAATGTTAATAAATCATTCTGATCGTTACTATAACAAAATTAGATTATTAATAATTTACATTGAAATAACTTAAATATTTTAAAAGTTCATTGAAGATTAAATTGGAAATAGCGGATAATAACTTGTTTTTTTAAATTTAATTATGAAATCAATAAAAAGTAAATTAACAAATTCACATCAAACAAACTGCATGACAAACACAATCATATCACGTTTACATGAGGTACGTTTTCGTCAGAATTTAGTACCGAAATGCTGGTAGATTTGTTTTGGAACAGTGCCCGGTGGTAAAGGTTAATTATGAATCGGGTATATGATTTTCTGTTATGAAAAATAAGAAAAATATTCGGTAAAAAATATTCATTAACTCAACGGATACAAAAGGAAAATCAATGTTCACATTGCATTGCACTATCAGTACTGTTCTGATTTCATATATGATATATTTGAGTCTGATCGATAAAGTCGTCTTAATCCATCTTAGATATAAACAATTAAATGTTTAAAATAAATTTCGGCTCTGCTCTTGTCGGCTCTGTACAAAGTTGCTTGGTGCATCCCACAACACAGCGAGAGTAAACTCGGACTCGCGGTCGTTAGAAAAGATCCGACAATCATTTATAACTCGCGTTTTCGTCTAACAAAAGAAAATCTCCCTTTGTGTGGATCTATGCTAGTGCTGACAATATTATTTACACTTGGAATTCGAGAAAATAGAAATAAGTAAAGTACATACTCACGAACACACGCAGAAGAGATTAATAAAATGCTATGACTGTAACATAGTTCTGCACTGATCAGAGACATGGACTATGGAAAGGCCAACAAAAATTATCTGTAAAGTTCTAAAATGTGGTGCTGGAGGCGAATGGAAAAGATCAAGTGAACAGACAAGATAACCAATGAAGGAGTCTTGAGAGTAGTGGGAGAAGAAAGGATTCTATTGAGCACGATCCTGAAAAGAAAAGTAAACTGGATCGGACACATTCTGCATAAAGAATGCCTTTTGCACGACCTCATCGAAGGTAAAATAAAAGGACTAAAAAATGGGAAGAAGAAGAATGCAGATGGTTGATAACTTACGCGAAAAAAATACAGGGAATTGAAAGCCCAAGCACAAGACCAGGAAGCATGGAAGCAGAAGTTTGGAATCAAAAATGGTCAACAATTGAAGGCAATAAAATGGTAATGAGAATAATAAACAAAGGAGGGGAAGAAAATCATAGATTTTTGTAGTGCTTTCATACCATGGACCTCCCTTTTTTCGGGCAGACTACAATTTATTATTTTTAACACGTTCGCACACTGTAGAAGTTTCAGCAAGGTACAAAAATTGACAGACATTTCATTTTTAAATTGGTTGTCATATACGAAATATGAGTAGACACCGTTTATCTGATTATCGTATTTTAATCGTTATATACGATGAATACTTAAGCATCCACGTCAAGTATTTACACTTTTACTTTACGCAATGTGCTTGCCCAAATTAATTTATGACGGCGAAAGAAGATAATACACAAATACCTAAAAAATTAGTTGGTCATTACCTTGACAGAGGTTATATAAAAATGAATTCAAAATACTTGACTTTAAAATTTGAATGCTGTAGCATTCATGTCATTCTGCATCACAATGAAAATAAATGCTATAGCATTCACATCCGCCAATGTGTTAATATCTAATATACTTGGGTTTACTATATTATATTGTGATCGTCGACCTTGCAGTCACGAGTTTTCTACTATTACATCTTTTATAATCCATGCAGTTTTTTGTCAATAAGCTCATAATAATAAATTATACTTAATTACAATTAATCAATTTAATTTTAATCTAAATGTAATTAGGATCAATTTAGAGCCATGGTCCGAAAAGTCATACCAATACTGATTTTCTGAGGATGTTGAGAATTTGTCAATTAGTTTCGACTTTAGTTACGTTAGTTTTAAGACTTTTCAGTAATTAACATATATCTAATTTATACTTCACATGTACCGGAACAAATAAAGCTATCAGTAATTGTTATGTGAATGTGAAATAAATTAAGTCGCCTTTGATTTAAAAATAATTAAAAATTAAATAATAGTAATGGAAAACTATCGTTTATGTTCACAATGTAAAACTTGATAATTTTAATGAATAATAATAAAGTGAAGAAATAAGAGTGACTTAACCTTAATAGGTTAAGGTTTTACTGGCCGAGTAAGAACCATATTTTTGTCAAGAAAAACTGGTTCGCTCTGGAGTATAGTATTTTGCTTTTTTCCGTGAAATTATATCGGAACATAAATAACTTCTAATTTTAATACCAAACTCTTAAATGTGCAAAAATGTAGTTAATAATATATATATATATATATATATATATATATATATATATCTATATATATATAAGGTTGTCAAATGTCTTTCTTCCGCCTTTTTGTATTATAAACCAAGAGCAAAAAAGCGGAAGGGAGATATTTGACAACCTTATATATATATATCCAACAATGTAATTTTACCGTAGAAATAATTGGAAATGGCCAATAACTGAAAAGAATTGAAGATTTCTATTAACAATGTATCGATTTAGCTTACTCGATCATTTATCACAAATCTTCGACATACAGACACATGCCCACCTTAACATATATACGAGTCGGAACGAATGATGGTAACGCAACATCAACAAAAAATATATATAACATCTTATTTATATTTTAATTATATCATCATTATTCTTATTATGCTACGGGCGTGCCTAATCATCGCGTATTGTTGGAAACAAAACAGGTGTGATTTATTTTTCTATACTGGAAAATAATTATCTTCTAAACGAATCGGCTGACTGACTCTTCTAGACCGACGTCTCGGGGACATACTAAAAACACATGAGGTATGGTAAGTGAAATTGGATAGTTTTCAGGAATGCTCGACTAGAATATATATAACTAATTGTTTGTTCTAAATAACAATTTGTCTACACTAACAACTTCATATAATATAGTTATATTAAACTTCTATATATGTAAACCAATGCTCTTTCAATCAAGGCATTCAAGAGTCGAATCAATTCAGAACATTTCCATTTGTTTTAAATTACTCTATTTTTATTAATTTTTATTTTTTTATTGTTTTTTGATTTTTGTTAGAAATATTACTAATGTAAACGTAAAATGTTTAATTGCATTCTTTATGTATTTATAAAAATCGTATAATTCTACTCAAATAGATAAACTCATTTTTAAAACTAGCTGTAAGTGGAATTCTGTCTTAAGGCAATTAAGGCATCGTGCCTTAAGGCAAATTGCTGGAACTTCCCGTACCAAAAATTATTATTTTT